TTCTGGAAAATTGCATCTTTTTTTCTTTTTTTCTTTTTCTAAATAAAACCGTTTGTTCGTAAATAATTTTTAAAAAAAAATGTAAACAAAAAAAAAAACCAAACAAACATGCACCACCGGATAAAAAAAAAAAATAAAAAATAAAAAAATTTATTACATAGTTCTCAACACTAAATAACTTTCATAAATAAATTGTAATTATTTATTTATTTATTTTATTTAATTAAGTAATTTATTATTATTTGTAATTGACTAAATAAATAAATAAATAAATAATAAAAGAGAAAGAATGAAAGAAAGAAAAATATATATCGATCGATCGATTCGGTTTACCCTCGAATTTTCCTGATTTTTCTGATTTTTTTTTTTTTTCATATTAATAATAAATATATATATTTATATTTATGTATATACTTTGATTCGTTTAATATATATATATATATATATTATTATAAGTAACATTTTAGATAAACTTTCAAGTCGTGAGAAAGACACCGGGGAAATGATAATATAAAATTAATAATTAGCTATGAACGACGCTTCACTTTGCTTATGTACAATAAGGTAAAAAAGATGAATATAAATTATGACTATAAGATCTGAGATCTATGCAAGTCTTTGCAACAACAGCGACAACAACAACAACGACAACCACAACAACAACGTTTTATTTAAGTACGTGCTGGAAAATTTACGAAATTGAAGAGTTCTTTTTAATAATAATAATAATTACGCAAACTGCTAAAAAAAAAATTCGATCAACTGGTGTATCGGACGGATGAACTAAACTTTCGAATAACCAAAAATTTTCCTTCGTTCGCGAATAATAATAATAATAATAAATAAAACAAATTAAACAACTGATCAAATCGTTAAGATTAAGTAAATGAGCCGCCGACAAAAAAAAAGGGAAAAAATTAAAACGATATATCGAAATCAAACGAACAAAACTTTTTTTGTACTTTCCCAATAAGAACCCCTACAGACTTCAACCCTTACAGAGGACAAAAAAAAAAAAAAGAAAACAATCACACGCTACCTTTTATAAAGCCTTAAAAAAACGTACGACTTGTATTATTGCACTTCCAATTAATTTTTTTTTTTTGGAAACAAACAAACAACAAACGAAATTCGGTTAAAAATACTTGATTATGAAGAAATAAATATTAATAATTACAACGTAAGTAGTAATAGTAATAATAATAATAATAATAATTTAAATGAGGCAAATTTATATAATTAAAAAAAAAATGAACGAAAAATGCAGGGAATATTTAAATAATAATTCAATGAAACCATTTTATATATATATATGTACACATAAAATTCATCTAAAACGTTACTTTTTTTTTCCTTTTTTCTCCTTTTTTTTCTTTTTTTTCCTTTTTTCCTTTTTTTCCTTTTTTTTTAATAAATATATATATATTTTTTTAAATAAAAAAAAAATCAACGAAAAATCAAACGAAACCGAAAATCGATCGGCTATAAAAACTATTTTAATAACTTTCTAAATAAAAAAAACAGGTGATAATCAATAAATAATAATAATAATAATAATAATAATAATAATAATAATAAAATTAATTTTTAGTCGTAATGAGAACTATTATCACCTTTGGCACTGGAAACGGAAAATGTAATAAAAAAAAAAAAAAAACAAATTTATGACTTTGTTACGATTCGACTCGTGAAAAGTTATTCTTATTATTTTCATTAAAATTATTAATTAATTTTTTATTTATTTATTTTTTTTTTCTAGAAAAAATTCTTAGTTATCCTACCCCTTTTGAAGAAGTAATAGAAGAAGAAGAAGAAGAAGAAAAGAAAACAAAAAAACATATCAACTTATTATTTTTTAAATTAATAAATACGTTATTACTTAATCCCTCATATTAAAAAATTAAATTATATTAATAATGATAATAATAATAATAATAATAATTTTAAAAAAAATTGCCGCGAAACAATTCATCGAAATTTATACAACGCGAAAAAAAAAATCGTAGCAATTATTATTATTAATTAGCTTTATTCCTTTTTTTTTTTTTTGTTTTTTTTTTATTTTTTTTTTTTTTAATAAATAATTATTTATTTTTACAGTTCCTACTTTTTTTTTTTTTAAATTATAATAAACTAACGATTAAAAAAACACACAAAACGAAAGAAAGAAAGAAAAAAAAAAAAAAAAAAAGAGGAGCGATTAATTTTTATAATACAAAATAGACCCCCATTACAAATTATCCAACGATCTTTGGTGAGTAAAATAACAAAATAAAAATTACAATCATTATCGAACATCGAATCGGAAAATACGGAGATGAAGGAAAATTATTTTAATGAGTTATTATTTACCACGTTAGCGACGTGTTAAAATAAAAAATTATCCTAAAGATTAATAATTCTACGAGCGAAAAAAAAAGAGAGAGAGAGAGAAAAAAAAAATCACTTCATCGCACGCACATAAATCATGAGGAGCCAGTAATAAGTTTTATTAAATACAGGCAGCAATTACAGGGAACCAATTAAATGGGTGTATTAACTTTCCCTCCCCTCTTCCCCCCTCTCACATTCTCTTACCAAAAAAAAAAAAAAAAACAATTTAGGAACCATCAAAATGTCCACGACATCCGTTGGATGATATCCGTAAAGAAAATGCTATGCAAATTTTAAAAAAAAAAAAATTAATTTTCGCATCGTACTCTCGCATATTATTTTAATTTATCACGGAAGGATACCATTAGAAAATGGTTGTTTGTTTGTTTGTTTGTTGGTTGGTCATTTACTTTCAAATTATCATCAATTCTACAACTATTCGACAAATATTTTTACGACCGGGGTACGCCACTACTTTACTTTTCTTTTCCATTCCGACATTTTTTTAAATAATTCACCGACGGTTAATGAATTTCTGTTAGAATATTTTTCTCAGTGCAAAATACAAAAAAAATATTTTTTTTTTTTCCAGCTTTGAGGGGCTTGGGGGGGCTCGCTAGCAAAACAAAGAAAATTTAAACAACCTATTAAAACCTTCAACCGAACCCAAAAATAAAATAATAATATGCCATGTTCTTTCCAAAAAAAGTTTAACACGCGAGATTTTATTTATTTATTTATTTAATTTTTCTGCAACATATTACAGTGCCAAGTGACTACTTTTTTTTAATTTAAGTTTACATCCACGAATAAAAAAAAAAATTCTTCTTTTTTTAACGAACAATAAAACCAAAACTTCCGATGTATAATTTTCCTTAAATGCCTTTAGGGGTATCTTTAATTGTAATTACGGTAGTTAGTTTAAATCTCAACAACTTTATCCGCTTAAATTCGATGTAAGTAAATGACGGAAAAGAAGAGCAAAAAAAAAAACTTTTTTTTACTTTTCTTTCGCCACGGGCTAATTCATTTTCATAAACTCACAATCCAAGAGAGAGAGAGTAACAGGAAAAAAAAATTTTTAACTCAGCAATCAATGCAAAGACGTGGCAGAAGACAAACCCAGGCGAAAAACAGGTGGAAAAAAAATTAATCGAAATTACTATCAAGGGGGGAAAATAATTAATTTACTAAGGGAAAATATTTTTCAAAGTTATCAACAGCTTTGGTCGAACGTTTCACGATTAAATAGTTTTGCTACCAGTGTTTGATACCCGAATAGTACCTGATACTAGATTTTCCGCACATTAACCCTTGAGAGGTCGCGTCAATCTGACAGATACCAACAAATTATTATTATATTATTCCGTCTAATAGATTTTTTTTTTTTTTTTGAGATTCAGCTTGAAAATTTTCTCTTTTGGTATGCACGGTCGAATAATTTTTTTTTTTTTTTTTAATCGGTCCATCGTACAAAAAAATCCACTCACTACAGGCAAAATTTAAAATAATGTTTATGGTAGGTACGAAAACATTTTGATTATTTTCTAGTTCAACGTAGTAGTTTTTTTTTTCCTAACGTAATCAACTATTCACGGGAAGAATCTAATAATTAAACGTCGAACTTGTTTTTTTTTTTCCTCAAATTTTTTCCAATGTTTTTATAACAACAACTGATGTAAGTAAGTAAGTAAAAAAAAATCGTGTCAGAACAGAACACCAAAACAACATTTTATTTCATTACAAAAAGATAATGTCTTTGCATAAATGTTTCTTTTTACGACATGAACTCATTTATCTACAATTCCAAATTTTTTTTTGTCAGACATGATATTTCAAAGTGAAAAAAAAACAAAAACAAACAAAACCACAAGAACAAGAAAATCTTTGTTCGTCTATCGATTTTATTTATTTTTGGACGTCTGCCTGTACTAATAATTATTATTATTACTAGCTACCTCAAAAGAAATATTTAAATAAGAAAAAATTCATTATTATTATTTAAAATTGATTTTCTTATGAAAAATAAATAAATAAAAAAAATTGTGGTGCTTCCTTTGGTTGGCATCGCCGATTTCCGAATTATTATTATTATTATTACTATTTAGTCGTTGATATTAAATTAGTTATTTGTAATAAATTTTTTTTTTTTTGATTTTAACGTTAAAAAATTTTTTTTTTTTTTTCGTAAAAAAAAATCGTAACAAAGTCATAAAATTAGCTACAAAATAGAAATGATTGATTTTTCGAAAAACGAAAAATTATACCGAGGATTTGAATGAATGTGCAAGAGGGGAAAAAAAACAACATGCACAAATCACATTCGGTGCCGTTCAATCTTTAGAGATTTTCTTTCTTTTTTCTTTTCTTTTTTTGATGGGATTTCAAAAATAAAAAATAAAAAATTTCTTTTCTTTTCTTTCCTTTTTTTTTTTAATGTTTGAAAAGTAGTTTTAATCATCATATGATGACGATGATTAAGATTGAACAACACCAACGAAAAAATGCGACACACAAAAAAAATAAAAAAAATAAAATATATATACATATATAAATAAATAAAAATATATGTATGTATATATATATATATATATAGAATAACAGCCATGAGGCAGCAGATTTTACTTTCATCTTTGCGGATGAGAATGAGACATGTGAGGATGAGGCGGAGGATACCCTGAGTGTGGTAAAGGGGACGGACAAGAAGGTTGACCGTAACCCGTTCCCATCATCGGCGACGGACTCGAACAGGGAATGAGATGCGAAGGAGGACTTTGGGCGTGAGGATGGGGAGGTCCCATCATGTGATGCTGATGATGAGGACTCCCGGGATAATGTTGCAAATGCTGCTGACCCATGTGCTGGTGCGAGTGAGGGCTACCCCCGTAAACAAGCTGTCTTACTTTTTGCTCCTCGTCGCTTATATTATAAGTCAGCTCCGTTTCTTCGAATCCCGTCGCCGACATCCTTTGGTCTCCGCCGACCGAAGATGGAGCCGGATCCGGAGAATTAAGACAAGTTTGAATTAAAGCTTTTCCAGCCTCTGATGTTATCATAGGCTGAAGTTTGCGAGTCGCAAATGTATATACATGACCAGTTTCTGATGCTACCAGCAACATGACTTGTGTGCCCGTTAATGTGGACAGTTCGTAAGCCTGAAAAATAAAATAAAATATAAATACGAATACGACGGAGAGTACCCCCCCCAAAAAAAAAAACCTCAACTTTTTAAATACCTTTCAAATAATAATAATAATAATAATAATAATATATTCCTGAGTAAGGCATACAAAAAAAAATTTTTTTTTTTTTTGATTCGATTCCTATGAGACAGCACTGCCCTCGGGTTAAATATTTATTATTTGACAGGATATATTTAAGTATAAGAGAAAAAAAAAATAATAATAATAATAATAATAAAATTTTGTCAAATCACGTTGCACACAATATAATTAAAAATGGAATATTTAAATCCCCGATAAACAATTAACACACACACACAATTATAGTGTTCGAAGTAAATAAAAAATTTTTTGTTTTTAAAAATTATTTTTAGAAAAAAAAAAAAAAAAAAAAATGTTTGTTTTGCCCTCAGCTCATCTCGAACTAATTTTTTTTTTTTAATATACAAAACTTACTTAAAAAACGTTGTCATTATCATCATCATCATCATCATTTTTTTCTCCCCACAATAACATTTTAATTAATTAAAAAAAA